TAAAATTTTGTGTAATTAAATTTTAATTCAAATGTATCAAGTTGGTGTATCATGCTTAATGAGATGACCAATAGTAATAAATAGCAAAATTTATTTATTTTTTTATTTTTTATTTTTTTTAAAAAAATAACTCTCTAAGTTGACAAGATTTTATTAAATAAGTTTAAATACTATATATTATGACAAAAATATATCAAGCCATATATACACTTTTGGTATTTAATTTAAATAGTTCATCCAAAGTATTAGTGCTATGCTAAGAGTTCTACACTATCTGCTATACTTGTAATTTAACAATGAGATTACTCATTTAAGTCTTCTGATTTTAACATATCTAGTCTAACCCTACTTAATATAAATGTAAATTACTATATAAGTGGTAGATTTTGTAATACTACTATATTTATTTAAAACACTTAATTATCCTTAAGAATAAATTTAACAGAGTAGTACATGTCCTACATATTTATTCATCTGTGTGTTCAATAACTTCTTTTTAGTTAATACTTGTTGTACTGCTATAACTGAGTTTGTATTTCAAGCTATTTTTTAGAATGCTATTATAATCTAATTCATATTTCAAGGCTTTAGGTATCTTACAGTTTCTTTTCTTTTGGTACATACTTTTGAAATATATGCTTTTTTCTTTTGGTATATCTAGTATCTAGTAGTTCAGCCAATATATTTCTCTACTTAAAGATCTAGTTATTTGGTTTTTTAATCTCAGGCTCTAGTTCAAATTCAGCCTTCCTATAGCACTATTAAAAATCATTGCTACATCCCAACTTGTAATTTGTTAAATGGGTTTTTAGTTATTTTGGTTCCTTGGACCAAAGCTTCTATTACTAAATAGTATAATCAAAATTACAAATTTGATTCTAGATCTAAATAATAATTGATAGCTATTAACCATAATATAGACCTATTTTTCAAAATTGTTGTCTTGGGATTTAAACTCTAGATCTGCTACTTGAAGAGAATAATAACTAAACTACTACACTAAGTTACTACACCTTTGCAAAATTTATTTTAAAATAAAATATAATAAGTTATATAATTAAATATTGTTTTCTTGACAATAAAATATAGTATAGCAAAATATAAAATTGATTTTATTTAATTAGATTTAATTGTTTAAGCAAAAAAAAATTTTTTTTACTTGAATTCTATATTAAAATTTAAAGTTTATATAAACAACTATCTGGCATTAAACTACTAAACTTTGTTTTTTTATAATCTTTTAAGAGTATTAGTCCCAATCTTGAATAATTGTTATTTCTTTACTTTTTTCATAGTAATTATCAAAAACTAACTTATTTTTATTCTCTTTATTTTTACTATTGCTTCTACTATCATTTTCACTATTGCTTCTACTATTATTTTTACTATTGTTTTTACTATTGTTTTAATCATTGTTTTTACTATCATCTTTACTATCATTTTCACTATTATTTAATTCTTTCTGACTTTCAATTTCTCTTTCTGGGTTTGTTTGGTTTATAATCCTTGTAAAGTTAAAAATTAGATCATTTTTTTTATCTATTGTATTAGTGATTCCACAATATTTAAAGAACTTTCCAATCATATTAATATCAATAGCTTCCCAGGTCTCTTTTACTCAAGTAGCAACCAAAAGATAAGAAGGTCATTTCATTTTGCCAGTTTTAGTGTATTTTTTAATTCTATTTTATTATAAAAGTTTTGCATCTATTAAGAAATTATTTAAAAAAAAAAATTGATAATTAATTAATGAACTTAATTATATAAGTACTGCAAAGAGAAAATCTACAATTGGGCTTTCAATTATATTATGTATACAATTAGCTATCAATAAAAAATTTATCATAATAATATATTTTTTACAAATATCCAACTAAATATAACTTAAAAATTATTAGGAAAGATAATTTAGTACTATCAGCTAAACAGACTAAAACAACAGTAAAATTTGAATATCTATGCCCAGTTGATAAAATTGATATAGTCTTAGTGCCTTTTTCTTTAATTGTAGTAGTGCTTGGTATGCTAAAAGCCATGGCAGTTTCATCCATATCACCAATTAAAAACAAAGAGTAGCTATGTTTATATTGCTTAAAAAGTACAATAGACAAAAACTTATTTTGATTCTTAATATAACTTTTAGAGAGGTGTTGAGCAATAGTAGTTCATCTTCAGTTTACTAAATTATTCCTAGATATAAATATATCCACCTATTTTTGTAAAAATTTGTTATTTTGTATTTTTCTATATTTTTCTTGATAATAAGATATAGTATATAGAATATAAGCTTTGGCTTGAATCATAAAGTGGTTTATAATTTTTTGTTGAGCTTGAATATCTCAAAACTATTCAATTAATTTGGCTTCAAGCTCAGAATACTTTGGACAGGCCCTATTTGATAGTTTTTATATATAAGATGCAACTTTTATAAGTTTTAATTTTTTGCTTATTTATTGCCAAAATTGTTTCAGTTTTATTTCAAATTTATTGGCAGTTAACCATTTACTATATTCTTTTTCATAATAAGCGATTATTATCAACTTTTCACATGCTATCCATGTTTTTTTTTTTTTGTATTGTATGAGTATATCAAACTTTAAAGTTTTTATAAACTATTCTATTTCTTGTATAGTTTATACTAGTATAATATTAAGTTTGTTTCAAGTCTTATTAGTAATTACTAATAGTAAGTTAGTGCAGAATGCTTTTACTAATACCTTGTTATCTTCAAAAAGTAGTTAATATCTTGCAAAGATACTTCAGATTTAGTAACTTTTTTTTTAGATTTGATTCACAGATCAAAATAAGCTAGTAATATTTTGCTACTTTGTTTATAATACTGGTATTTAAATTTAAAAAAAAGTTTAAAAAATTTTATATATGTATATGAAGTTTATTTTATATTATTATTTATATTACTTAAAAGATATCATATATAGTATCTCTATATAAAGTACTCTTTTAGCAAAAGATCTCTTATACAAAGTACTTGCTACTAATTAAAATACTTATAAGTACTTTATAAGATTTTTTTGGTTAGATTGTATTGGACCCAAGTACTTTGGTCAGTATACTATAGTATATAATTTTAAAGCCTTGCACTAGCACAAATAGTGTTTTCATATTTTTTGTTTTTTTTTTTGCCCTTTTTTTTTTTTTATTTTTTTATTTTTCTTTTGTTTGTATTGGAATTTTGTTTTAGATTTTGTAGTCTCTCCACTTTTTTTACTATCTTTTTTCTAAATTAGTTTTTTTTTTATATACTTGTCATTTTTGAGACAAGAATTGTGAAATCCTCTTGCTCTGATATTTAAAAGAGGAGAGATTTAAAAAAAATGACAATTATAATAGACTATAAATATCATTTAGTGATTTATTTATTTATTTTAATTGTAAAAAAGATAGATATTGAGATAAACTCTACTATAGCAGATTGAATATGGGTAATTTGAACTTTGTTACAAAGAGTTAGATTAGTTAATACTTGTAAATTGGAGAATCAGAGTGTATACTTTGATAAATATATATAAGTATAATCTTTATATATTTACCCAATAAAGTGTTAGCATAATTGCTAAATAGAATAATAATAATAATAATAATAATTTAGTTATGATTTTGATACTATTTAAAATCTCTTACTAAAAAAATTCAAATAATATCAAAATTATTATAATTAAATTATCTAATTGCAAGTTATTAATAATAAATTAAAATATAAAAATTTGATTAAAACACAAATTTGGTTGACAAAACCTATTATAAGGCCATGCAAAATTAATTAAATGGTTTTCATAACCCGGCCGGGTCAAAATTTGAAAATTTCAAAAAAAA